TGGTCTTAACCGTGCACAAAACACAATAGTTGTTTACTCCGTACTGAGGAACTAACCAATAGAAAAGTGTTGGTTACGTAATTCATGCACGGTGTATGAGAGCACAAAAAAAAAAAAAAAGATTGTGCACGATCGTGGACCTTCCAACATAAATTTTGGCATCTTTGTTTGCTCCATTGATGTTTGCCCGGCTTCATAACCAGGCCCCTCTATTAACAATGTTGTAACGCGAAAGGACATGGTTTTTGTACCATTCTGCTCCGAAATAGAACAGAAAATTTGATCACTTAGGTTTGAATTAGGGCGTGTTTTACACTCTGGCCTGGTAATGGATTTGATGATTAGATCAAATCTCTATTTTCGTGCATTTCACGATTCCATTGGGTACGGGGGTACCCAAAACACGGGGATACCCAAATCACTGTGACACCGTGCATAGTTAGTAGAGGGGACTGGTTATGAGGGACGGCAAACATCAAAGGAGCAAACAAAGATGCCAAAATTTATGTGTTTGTCTTTTGTTTTGCGCTCATACATGCATGAATTACGTAACCAACACGTTTCTATTGGTTAGTTCCTCAGTACGGAGTAAACAACTATTGTGTTCTGTGCACGGTCAAGGCCAAAAAAGCAAACAAAAAAATACAACAAAGAACTTTGTCGGGTTTCATAACCATTCCCCTCTTACTATTAACTGTGGCCCGTGACACTGTTATTCCACCGTTGTTCTGTACCTTTGTTTGTCTTTATTCGTAAGATCCACTCTATTTGACAGGCAAAATTATTAATCCAGCCTTTTCATTACCACATTGTTCACTGCAGTTCAAAAGAATATATTAACAATGATACCTTCAGTAAGCCTTACAAAAAAAGTCTTGGTTCAGTTGTACTGAGGCTGCTCCGCCAAGGGTTCTCTGTTCATTCTACAAACTAGTCATACCAAGGTAAGAGAAATGTTTTCTTAGGTTTTTATACGTTGCCTTCAAAAAGTATAGGGGTGAAAATTTTATAGCTGATTCTTACATCATGTTTCCTGTTATACCAGATCTAACTGAAATTGTGCGACACTCTTTGAACATTACTTGCCCTTCATGGTTTCTCACAATTTTCTTTGGCTGTTGAAATTCATCTCTCGATCGATTCATCCTAGGACAATCTTACATGTAAAAAGATATCCACATTGCTAAAGGATGATAAAATTTCTAGCTATCACTGATTTGCAGTCATAGCTCATTCAACAGAATGTTGATATTTCCAAACACATTGTAAAGTGAAAAAAGCCGATTTCCCAACGTAAGTGTACGATGCCACTTTTTTTGGCGCCGAAACAACGCTAATTATGAATGGTTAAGTTGCGAAAAAGACGAAACCATTTCTTTTTGAGAAATTAAGAATGATGTCTTTGTTAATCCCCAAATAATTATATTTTGAACAAACCCCAAAGTATAAGACAGTGAATGGACTTGATTTAAACTTGTTTCGAGTAATTTTTTTGCCTCGTTAGACTAAGAAATAACCACGCACCTTAACAACTCCATGGCGCTTATTGAAACCGCTGCGCTCTACAACGGGTGTAAGGAAATCGTTAATATACTGATTATGAACGATTTCTTTCTGAGAGAGCATTATGCGTTTGCCGAGCACGGCCAAATAATTTTCGCCACGCCCTCGTATACCACGACTGATAACCGCCGCCCCTTAACAACAACATGTTCTTTTAAAAATAATTGTCACAAAGCTGTTTGACCTACTAAGGACGTATTTCTCTTGTGTTGCTAAAATTTCAATTCTTATTAGTTTACTGAAATAATTGTTTTTCCTTCCAGTCAACATGACGTGCATTTATAAGATTATTTTGGCGATGGTCGTTGTCCAATTGGCGTTGGTTCTGGCCAAATCACGCAAGCATGAATATGACGACGGACTGTATCACTCCGATGACAATATGGAAAATTTCGTCTACAAAAGAGCGGGTAAGACTCTTCCTTACAATTGCAAACTTTTCTTCGTTCCCAGTAAAATAAGACATTCTCACCCCTACGGGAACTAAAAGCGACCTCATTTGTCGCACTAACATAATTACATTGTTTGTCTCCGTGATCCTAACTTGGCAAGCAATGCACGATGCAGTGTAACCACACATCGCACATTAAGCGCGCATGCTTAGTAACAAAATGAACAATTGCATGAATTTATTGATGCATGATCTTGGAAGGTTAGCCACTAGTACTGCCACTTCCACGGCCACTGCCACTACTACTGCTAGAGAGAATAGACACGCAGTACCTTTACAATAAAGCTATAGTCGGGCCATTGCAAATTCAACGTTAAGACCATTGCATTATTAAAGGCGGCAAGGTTCCTCATAAGTTCCTCTGCCATTATTTCTGCCTAACCTCTAATGTTCTGTTAACAGAAAGCTGCACCGGCATCGCGCCTAAAAAACGTAAAGACTGTGGTTATCCAGGAATAACCGCAAAAGAATGCAAAAACAAAGGATGTTGCTTCGACGACAGCATTAGAGATGTTAACTAGTGTTTTCACAAAGGTTTGTCTTGGCCTGGAATGTCAGTTATCTCCCGCCCGAGGGTTAGGTTGAGGACGGGAGATGAATGACATTTCAGGCTAGGTTTGTCACGTCTCCTTAATTGATATAAACCAACCATCGCCAGCACACTGCAATCTGTTCTGTTTATGTGACCATTTTCACTTCGCTATTATTTGGAGGTCTGATACTGATCGTGTGCTTGTACTTTGTAGACCATTTTACAGCTGTCTGCTCGGTGACCTGGGTTCCGTTTCTCGAAGGTCCGAAAAGTTTTCGCACCCGGACAGCCATAGCAAAATCTCGAAGCTTATGATTACAGAGCTGTTTTACTCGCGTATTTTTAATATGAACATATGCTCCCTTCATTCAAGAAGTTTCAGGCGTATACACTTCGCCGTTCTTAGATACAGATGAACTAAGTTTCCGGGGCTTTCGAGAAACGGGCCCCTGGCTTTGAATGGCAACGAGGTTGGAAGTGACCTTGTTTTGATACAGGCCTCACAGCAAGGTCACCTCCAGTCTCGCTGCCATTCAAAGGCCAGGTCACCTAGCAGACAACTGTAAAATGGTCTTTTTAGTTGTTCTTGTTTCAAAGACCATGTTTCTTCTGCCTCGTCCCAAGGCACCGTTATATTTCGTTTGGGAGGTGGAGCGCGGTCCTTGATGGTTGGCCTGGGAGCACGGAGATGAGTTAAATCTCGCTTCGTAGTGTACACAACTGTGATTGACTTTCCTATTTTTTCTGTCTTTCCTTTCAAAGAGGAATTCAAGTGTCACTCTTGTCGTGCCGATAGTACGGCGACCGGCGAGAAAAAAGAGGAAGTGTGCAAAGAGAAGCATCCCATCTGTATGACAACAACAGGAAGAGAATATCTCCTTCACTGCGCGGATATGGAGTATTACAATGTGGCAGAAAAATACTGTGAAACGATTGTGAGGTTACTTACTGTACCGAGTCATTGTGTAATTGATGTCAATCAAGGACCCTGGCAAGCGCTTTTGGTAGATTTGATGTTTTTCATAACTCGGCTTCTAGCTGCTTCTGATTGCCAGCGCCATTTGTAAACAGTAAACATTTACGTACTCAAAAGGAAAAGCAGAAAAGAAATCAAGACTTGCTGAAGATAACAGCCTTTTTTGTTGTCACGGCACTGCTTTTCGGGAAGGCCAGGATGCGGGAAGCGGGAAGCAAAGTGAACAAACGAAGGAACAGGTAGGTTTGGTAGCGGAAAGAAGAGAGACCTTGCAACTATTCGAGTCATCAGTTTTTTCCAAGCTATTTTTGGAATCTCTTTTTAAAGCGTGTTTTAGAGCGAAAACGAGTTTAACTCTCATGTTCAATTTCTTACAAATGAAGACCTTGTCTTTAATCATGGGCAAATTTACTCGCGAGTCGAGGACACCAGATACTGTGCCTGTTCGCAGTGAAATAGTGTTTTGATCCAACCTCGTACTCAGACTCTCCGTGACTAGCAGTCAAAATGCTGCCGACCCAGGACAGTTCTCATTGATAGTTCAAAAATATTGGACTTCCGTTTGAATAAGCCATATTCGTACTCTCGGCAATTAAAAATTCGTATCTGAAAAGACTCTCCGCATTAGCCTCAGTTACAAGCTTGTTCCAGTCCAATACCGAGAATACGAATATAATCTATTGCGCATGCCTACATGTAACTGAGAAACACGTAGTTGAGGATTCGGTCAGAGTTAATGCGGTCACTTCCACGACATTTGACTTATCGTCAGCTCGTTATCATTGTCATAGCACGATTAACAAACTACAGCAACTTAGTAACTCGAATGACTGCTGCTATAGATCTCCATCTGACACTGACCGGTATTCTCGTTTCCAGATCTCTCGGAACAAAATCAACAGGCCGGAAACCAGTCGTTTGACGTACAGTTTACAACAGTACACAGGGTGAACACTGGGTACGATCCAATCTATAGCCGTGTAGTTATATAAGAGTGTGATGGTTCTGTGAGAGTAAAGTCTTTCCCGAGAGCACAAAACCGTGCCACCTAACCAGAGCCTAACGCAATAACCACTAAGCCAACACAACTTTACTTGAATCACTAAACCCCATTGTTTTCTTTTCGTGAAATGACAGTGTCACTAAGAGACTAAAGTCTGGTTTTCACTAGCGACGCAAGCACAAGCGCAAGTACAAGCGTAAGCAATAAGGATGACCCAAGTGAAAACGAAATTCGACGCAAACACAAACACAAGCAAAATCATCCGAACATTCCAAACTGTTTTGGCGCGAGGTAATCTGGATCCAGTATTTTCATTGCCCAAAAATAACCACGTGTGGTAAATATCCTTCTGCTTGCGTTACACCTGAGCGGTATTTCGTTTTCACTTGTTGCAGTACAAACGCAAGCGCAAGCACAAGAAAAGGAAAAATTTTGATCCTTGTGCTTGTGCTGGCGCTTGTGCTTATGCCGGCGTCAAGGCCGTTTTCACGATGAAATAAGAATTGTGTTTGCGCTTGTGTTGGCGCTTGTGGTTCCGTCCCTAGGGAAAACCAGGCTTAAAGAACGACAAGGAGAGCATTTCTACAACATTTATAACACTTATATTTGACAAATTGGTATATAATTTACAATTGGCTGTTAGATTCTCACATTATGTACGGATCACTACTATAATTAAATTAACCTTTCAAGTTTTCTTTTTACACACTTAGATACGTACAATGTTCAACAGCGACAGCGTGAAGTTACGTTCTGGTTAATAAGAACAAAAACAAATCTTAATTCTGTAGGGCACTTTATCCCCTTTGGATTCCTTTGGCTGATATTTCACCAAGTACCAAGGTGGAACCTCTTTCATTCCAAATGTGCTCTGAGGAAGTCGTTGTAAGAAATCCTCCCCGTCATGTTTTTATCGTAAAATGAAAAGAGGTGGAAGAACTCCTCTTCGTTTAAGTCCATCTTGAATTTTCTCATCATCTGCCTGAACTCAGGAAGTGAACAAGTACCGGCGCCGCTTTTGTCCAGCGCCTGTGGAGAGAAGAAGACACGTTGACGCTTGAGTTAAAACATTTCATCATCATCGTGTCGAAATATAGGCTTCCTATCCTAGGCTTCCTATCCTAGGCTTCCTATCCTAGGCTTCCTATCCTAGGCTTCCTATCCTAGGCTTCCTATCTTAAGCTTCCTACTAGGGAAATGACGACAACAACAACACCACCACCAACAACAAAGAAGCCGAAGACGAAGACCAGAACAACAATCATCAGACTGAGTAGACTGTTTATCGATAACTTTGTATCCGATACTGATTTGAAATTTAGGGTTCCTGAACTTCCAACTTCCGAACCACCCGCCTCATAAAGGTACATTTTGACACAAGACTGAGAGGACCACAATCTAGCCGTAGACAGCAGTTTTATCCTTACTCGTCAACGTTGAGTATGGGAATCAACGCTGTTCAGGTATGTTTACAGCTCAGTCTCCAAACACATGTGGACACATGGTGGTCTCATTGTCTCCAAGCTTCTGGTACCCTTTCAGGATGACAGCTCAAAGCAACGGTCAAAACAGGTCAAACGTCGAAATTCACACAGGACGAACAAAACAGAGCGAATGAAGTTCATGATAAGTTCGACGTTTGACTCCAACTGACTAAATTCGAATTAAGTTCAACGTTTCGACTCAACGGTGGAGCTTTACCCGTTTGGATCGACTCAAATTGCAATTTAGTTCGTGCCATGTGAAGTTGGACGGTTGACCTGGGCTTAAGCCACAGAAGTGCTGACACAACTCATAGTTCAACAGCTCTGCACCAGGCCATATTTTCATAGAGGCAACGGGAAGGGGGGGGG